AATGGTAAGGGGGTCCCGAGACCCCCCAGTCGTGGGCTGAAAAAGTACATTGTATGAGAGGTCTATTCATATACCTCATCTGTACTATAATATAATATTAGATCATGATTAGCGCTGTCGAAGCATTGTTGATGTAGCATGTCATAATCCGTGTCATCCGCCTATGGCGCTTCGCGACATGAATACGACGACGTAAAAATAATTGTCTATGAATATGCATATATAAATATTCTACGTATATATATTAAATCGAATATGATAACAGTGATCTTATATACACGTATATATTGAAAATGCTGTTCTTTTTGAAACAAATAAATAAACATGATACTACGTACAAATAGAAACGCTAATAAAATGAAATTGTAATGAAAATTATAACATAGTATATAGGTTATCACAATATTTCAATCATATTAATTTCCTTTTCGCAGTCGTACATTGAATGTACAGTGGTAATTTATCTGCAAGCAACGTCGAATCACTGTCGGCGTGTAGCACACATCGCATTTTATATCGATGTAAGCATGTATTTTATATCAATGTAGCAATTAAAGGACACTTAATAGATTGTATACTCTCTCCAGCTATCTGTTATCGATAACATAGATATCCCAAATGTCTTATTAGTGACGAAAGTTGCATGAACCCTGATTGAAAACGACATGTTTACTACCGATGAACCATACTATGGAGATCGAAATTAGCCTCGGTAATAGAGTTGGTTGGTATGAATTTCGTGAAGTTAATGGGTTTGACAGGAAAATTCTGAATAAGTTTGATAGGAAAATTCTGATTGGGCCTCGGAAAGTATCACCACTGGACCTGCGATTAGAGTCTCTGAAAGCAGAGATTGCCTGGTACCTGTCTTCAAATAGTCTTAGATACCTGCGAGCGGAGTTGCTTTTTAGAACTGCGTAAGATCTTATGGATGATGGCTTTTGCTTCTTAAAATAAAAGAAAGAGTGAGTAATCAATTTATTGGGAATATTTGCATGAGAATTTGGAACTTGTTCTAGAACAACGAAATTTATAGTAATGAAACATTATGGACAGGTCACAGGAAGAATTACAGGAAGAAGATTACGATGCAAGCGAAGTCAAATATCCCGAGCAAGCTCTCAGGCGTCTAGAGACTGCGAGAAAGACGTGATTAAATCTAAATTGGTATCCAGTAGAGACTCGGTGAAGTTCGATATATCAGAAGAAATTATTCATAAATTGAAGGCTCACCGTTTTAAGGATGTGCTCTAGGTTTATAAAAAAAAAAAAAAAAAATTGCGGTAGAGATAATAAACAAACGAAAGAAAGAAAAGGACTGAAGCGATAAAAGATATTTAATACTAGTTAATGATAAATGAGTAATGATAAATGAATAAAAGAGGAAGATATTGGAAGGATATTCGGATATAAGTTGTCTCGAAGAGAAGCACCCATATATGTGCTCCGACGTTTTTATAAGATGTTGCAACAATTTATTAATAATCTGTCACATCCTGCCGATTATTGATTTAAGCAGATATTGTTCTACAGCGCTATTGACGATAGGAATTAAAATCAAAAAGATATTGCCGATTCTTTATTGAATTAAATTATTGAATTAAATGTCATTTCATCGTGGACATATAATATACAGTTTATCTGTCTTAACTGAGAGCACTCAAATATCTGGAAAAATTTTATTAATATAAAAAAAAATGTCGAATAAAAATTACAAGATATTAAAGACTGCATGTTGTTATTTGTTCGTTTGACTTCGAGATGATTTTGGAATAATAACAATGAAACTTCTGTAATTCAGCTGTTACATTCGCCTGAATTTTCAAAACTGTTTATTTTTGTGAAAAATGATCATCATTTTCGTTCTAGCGAACTAAAATACTCTTGAAAATACAAATTAAAAAAAAAAAATTTTGTAGCCTAAATACGATACTTCGACCAAATCTATAATTAAATATTATTCAAGTTATATAAAATTAATCTCAACTTATACACTGTATGTCTGGTTATATATAACGTATAATGTACAAGTATGATATATAACAATATTATATATACTATTATAACAATTATATATATTAATATATAATTAAGTTATTATTATAATATTATATATTATATAATATTATATATCATATATATATTGTTTATATCATATAACTTGTATTAGATTGTATGAATTGTATAAGATTAATCTCAAAATATAAAGAAAATTTTTCAAAACTTGCACGATTAGAAATTACACTGATTACAAATAACAATTATAAATGGTTGAAAATTTGTTTCGTTGCCGATCATTACTGATGAGGTGAATTCTACTTTCGTTTGCAATATCGACGAAGAAAGTTTATTTTGCTTATAACTAAACAGCCGATTTTTATGCACGGAAAATTTTAAGGTGCAAAAATCCACACAATGCTTATAACAATGTAACATGTAAAAATACATGAAATATCTAAAGAAGAATATTAATTATAATCGTTATAGTTATTATAAAATATTAATAATACAAGAAATAATTTTCTAGTTCTATTTCTTAAATTATACTCATAAAAATTTAAAAATGCATAAAAAATCATAGTTTACTCATAACAATTACAGATAAAGAAAACTCCATTTTAGTCGCTTCATTGTTTTGCATCGGCAATCGCATTGAAATATTTTGCAAATATTTCTAATATAAATTTCACGAAAATTAACGAAGAAAATAAGGACGACAAATAATAGTTACCTCAGAAATTTTATTTTACAAAAAAACATTAATTACTGAAACTTGCTTATTATTTAATTACTTAATATTAATCTTAAATCGTAAAGAAAATTTTTCAAAATACTATACGACGAAAAAAATTAAATCTTTAATTAAAAATAACAATTACAGATGACTGAAAATCTTTCTCATCGTCTACGAAAACCATTAATAATGAGGGGAATTCTATTTCTAATTCTGCTCATAATAGTTATGAATTAACTCAAATAAGAAATGAGGAAGGGGCAAGGGTAAAGTTTAGCCGAATTCTTTAACATTAATATACAAAATATATATTAATATTCGTGATACATTCGGAATGATTCTATATGAGAAAATAAACTGAATGTATAAAATAGAATTTTTTCGTATGACCTGTTCTTTTTCGTTTCTGTTATTTTTGTTTAACTAGAAGAGAAAATAATTCGCTCACAAATAAGATAACAATAATGATAAGAAGCAAATCATGAAATTGTTCTTATAAATATCAAGAGAAGTAGAAAGTTAGATATGTAACTCGAAACTTAGAATTATCTACCTATGCATATACAGGGTGTCCTACGCAATTGGGACAAGCTGCATCTTTCAAACAGTTAGAAATAAAGAAAAATTATAGGTAAAAATTAAATAATAACCACTGAATTATAATATAGAAATAGTTTTTTTTTTATGTATGAGTGCATGGGGAATGTACTTGCGCTTTTTTTTTAATGAAAATTTATAGTTTTGATCGTACCAATCAATGCAGATTCAAAATCTCCACGGAAGAGTATTAATTTATGTCTAATCTGATGAAGCAGAAGTTATTACAGTCAAATTTTTGTTAAATTAATTTTGTTAAATCAGTGCATCTGTCAGATGTCATGAATTCTTGATCAATCTTCTAGAATTTTTCAAACTCATCTTTCTTCGGAAACAAAGCCTTAAAAAAAAATATTATTCTTCCTTTTCGATTTATTTTTATATAGTCTTATATCCGGTTATTTGGCGCAATTTGATTAATTAATCAACTAACGCATTTGTTATATCACCTCATGTTCTTTTTTGTGAACTATCTGAGATTATAGATACAAATAGAATAAGTACGTGCACATATAGGGTATATGCATTGCACATATGCTGTTTTTTTGCTTTTAATAAAATATTATTATATTATTACAATTATATTATATTATTATTAATAAAATATTATTATATTATTGTATTATTAGTGAAAATGCAGCATATTTAGAATCAGCGTTTTATTTAAAATGAATAAAAAATGAAAAAAGTGTGCCGATCACAAATGTATATACGTTCTTTATTCTCATAAATTTTCAAACTTTTTCAAATCTTCAAATTGGATTTTCAAA